GACAATTTTCACTTGTTGTTGTGATCCTATTGCATTCTGTGGACCCCAGCTCTTTTATATAAACACAAAATAATCAATTTTCTATACAGAGATGCATTATTTTTCCAATAAACAACATATCATTCTAGGTACCTGCAAACGTCGTGGTGTCGAAGTTTGTGCAAGGAATTTTTTTTTTAATGATATTGAATGAGCTCGAGGATAAGCAGTTCGTAATGCTAATCTGACAGGCATGTTGATAGAGGTGTTTATTATTGTAAAAGTGTATTTAAAAGTTGAAGGAAATTGTAAAAGAACGTCCTTTATAGCAAAAAAAGAGATCAATATTTTGATGATCACTTTTTCTTTACATTATACGATGATGCAATTAACGTGTGATTGTTACGAAAAAAGAACATGCTATTATATTAAACACAGGAAATTATTAATCGTTAATATTAGAAAATAAACTTCATTCACAATAAAATCACACGATTCTTAATCCATTCAGGGACGATGCGATGATTAAAGTGAATTCTGCATGCATTAATGTTTGATTTCTGCAATATTATACAGTCAATTTCAGATCCATAACTTTCCAAAAATCTCCGAACACAAAGAAAAATTACAAATGTCTTTTTATAGATCACCTCAAATACAATGAATCACCATTTATGCTATCCTCATATATTTTTAATAAAACATAGTCTAAATGACTATTTCTCTTAAATTACGTTGTCTTCTGAGTATTACTATGTGTTTTACTTATTTTCCCCCACAATGTCACTATGTTTTGGTATTCGTTCAAGACTTGCAAACTTCTTTGAACTCTGTCTTTCTTTAATTTTCCACGAACACAAACACTCTGCCAACTTGTTAAAATCGCTCAACTTGGTAACAATATGTAGTTGACGTATATAATAAATGCCTAAGCCACTTGTACGTCACAAGTCTGGAATTTTAATATGTTCATCAACCATTTAACCAGGTCTTCTAGGCGTTTACTCCCTTATGGCGTCCGCCATGTGGGAACCGTAGCCGAG